AGTCGGCCTCGCGTTTAACGAAGCACTTTTTTAATTTTCTATATCCTAGTCTGGTTACTCGCCCCTTTGAAGCGGCATCATATCTGCCACTTATTTGTATGTTCTCTGGGGGGAGTTTACGGACCAGAACCCTTTGCCCGGTCTTCCATAAAAATTTTGCAGACTCTATCTCCGACCAGATCTAGAATCATGTCTCGGCTTCCCCGACCTTTTACATATGCACCAACCGATTTTCCAACTACCGCAAGAAAAAATTCTAAACTATCACCGATTATTGTCTCTTACCCCGCTAATATATTCACTACGAAATCGCATGCTGATTCGAACGAAGAGGAATGCAACTGCAGTGCTACCCCAATTCATATCAGAGCTAGAGATCAAGTATCAAGAGCCTCTAAGTACAATTTGCAGCAACGGCAAGTTCTGAGCTTTCCGCTACAAGGTGCATATCTAACTGTTTGTACGAGGAAACGAAAAAGAAACCTGCTAAAATCAAATTTTATAAAGCTGTGTAGCATCTTATAAAACAAACGTCTGGCTCGAACACAATTTCTACTGGAAAATGGTGATAGGCAAGATATTACATATGCAAATTTCGTTAAAATTTCCAATTCGAGACTGGCATATATTAACATGGAATTGGCGTACACGCGATCCCACCCAAGTAGAACTACTGCATGCGTTGTGTCCTGCATGTAGTGCGGCTGGAAGGCCAACCTGAGTTGTACAAATAGACCGAATCCAAATAATCGAGTTACCCTTCATCAATGGGAGAATGCTTGAACTCACATAAGGCCTTGCATGGATGGACAGACAACTTCAGACGGTCGAGAATTACTGTAAACTACTTCGAGCCTAGTTTGTTAATGCAGCAATTAATTGCTGTCATGTCTCAGCCTGCAATTTGTCAAGCCGCTTACAGAAGTACCGAGACAAACCACGTCCAAGCCTCCATGGACTGTATCCATAACCAAAGCGGCATACGGAAGGCTGTTTCTAAATCCGGGAAGTAAGATAGCCTCAGCTCAGGAGCATTTCTCACGTTGCATCAATTTTTTCATTGGCGTACCTATCGCGACAATGAATAGTTCGTGTGGAGAAAGGCAGCGTCTCACTCACAGTACTGACCATAGGTTAGTACAGATTTAGTACGCTTTGCCGATTCTGTCAATGATGGTGGATATCGAAGTTGTACGGTTGGAGGGTCGGTGCAATACTATTTCGCCTTGTCCCCCAAACACGCAAGCAGAGTTCAGCAGTCCCGATCTCCAGCGCGTCTGAGCGCAAAATCAGAAATGTATTATCGTAGCCGAATAACTTCCCTTAAGCCCAACAAGGGGTATCACGATTTTTGTTGCGAATCAATGAAGAGTGAGGCTATAGACACACATAGTGATGCAATGAGTTGTGCCAGCCAAAACCTATGACAGGGGATGCCTTTGTATACGAAAGTTATCTATTGCACGATTGGTCTACAAAAGCACTACTCAGCTGGAAAGCTGTCCAATGGCTTGTCTTCTGATATTGACAGTCAATCTCAAATACCTCCAGAGAGGTGTCAGCATAATTCCCAACCATGGTCAAATATGACTACATGTGTGGAGGATTTCGAGGGCACAGGACGCCGACCTATTTGACGTATGGAGGGGGGAAATGTACCTAAATGAAACATGTGAGAGTTCTCCGGAATTTTGTCAGAAATATCTTCAGCCGCATGGGATGTCTTGAATATTTCAAATTCTGACACAGGCACCTGGGCATAGCTTATTTGCCTTCCAATGCGATTGCACAACAAGCGTCAACGCAACGCTGGGGAGCATTTATTTTGCCGACCCATACTATTGGGATTTAGTTACTTCATTCTCGTTAACGGATTATAATTGGAAGTTGCCCAAGCGGGTTATGGAAGAGTATGGCGGTGGCATCTACAATTTACGATTGGTGCGATCTCAGCCACTTCACCTCTTTGCCCGAAATTAGCAGAATGTTCACCCTCCACGTCAGAGAGCTTGAATTGCCTCTCGATGGTTTTTCGAAAAGTGATATAAGGGAGCATGTTTTCCTGCACTTCAAGAAATTTCCCCATCGTTGACCACGCTACATCTTTCTGAATCACACAACGCACGTCTTCGCCTGTCAGTGGCCGGGTTCCTGACTATTTCCTCGCAAGCACAGATTTACAACCATGACTGGAGATATAATGAGCGCTAGACCTCTATCTTCCACAGTTCAGGAAGAAATCAAACCATGGCTATCGGGGAATTACCCAACTTGGCAACCCGGCCAACCGTTCCCTCTGGTTGCCTCTCCCGCCAAAGTCACCGGAATTTATGTATGTTTTCATTTCTTCACCTGGGAGTCATTGTAGAAGTACTAATGGCAACTTCTCTTCTAGCACGCTGACGAGTTCAACCGAGTTGCATCGCATATGAGCATAGTGCACAATACCATCATTCGAGGTCTTAACTCCATTTACCTTCAAGCCCGCAAAGTCGCGCCAACACAAATCCACGCGGCTACAACAGAAAACTCCGCAGATGTGAAGACACGAGACGACTTTGTTGCATATGCGAAGGAGTGGTCCACAATGCTGCACATACACCATGACAACGAGGAAACGCACTTCTTCCCTGATATTGAGAAATTGACTGGGGTTATCGGTCTCATGGACCGAAACATTGAACAACATAGGGCGTTCGACGGAGGAGTGGAACTCTTTGATAAATACTTGGAGCAGGTCACCCCTCCCGCGAACCCTAAAGAGCGAGTTGGGGCAGACAAGTTCCTATATGGGGAAGAAATGGTCCGGCTGATTGAGGGGTTCGGACAACCACTCGTCGCACACCTCACGGAAGAGATGGGTTCGCTCCTCGCGCTCAAAGAGTATCGAGATGTCTTAGACATTGGAAGACTCTTTGACGAGGAGTCGGAAAAAATCATGAAGTCCGTGAGTTTTTCCGGGGTCCTGTCATGGTTCATGCATAATATGGACATTGAATACGAAGGGGGCATTCACAAGGAATTTCCCCCGGCTCCTTGGTTCGTGCTGTGGCAGTTGAGGAATGTGTCTTGGTGGCCGGGGAGGGCCAAGTGGAGGTTCTCGTCGTGCACAAGGAAGGGACAGTTGAGGGAGAAGTTGCTCTTTGAGTGATACGAAATCACTCAAGTGGTCTTTTGGGAGAAAATTTAGGGGGCGGTTGGGTTCTTGCCCGCACGAATCTGGGATAGTCTTGGAATTGGTGCATGTATACAGGATGAGGGTGGCTACGGGTGATGTTACAAACGAGTTGGACTTTGGATAGAGTTATGCGTAAAAGCTGAAGTTGGCGTGGATATGTTCTATTTTTTGTCACTTTGCTGAACATTATCAGTATCGTTGAAGAGTCCTGAGCTCGTTGCTAGGATATGGTATCCTTTTTTTGGGGCTTTTTCTACTGCTGTTTACCTTCCTTCTTGTCTACGAGACTAGACCCTGCAATACTTTCTTCCATTTGGAGTTCTAATTTTTTCTTTTCTTTTTTCTTTTTTTCTCGATCCTGAATTAATTGCTACTTGTATGGGGATTCTAGTATTTTTAGTGCGATGGTTGCAATATACAGTATAAATCTATATTTCTTCATGAGCACATATATGTCGTATCAGATGGGAACAGCAACTGTACTTGTCTACTTCATAATTAGTCTTCTTTCACCAGTGGAGCGGTGCTGCCGGCGAAGTATTCCTCGATATACCCCCAAGTGATTTCCAGTTTCCGCAACTCGGACGCTTTTGCACAAATAACCTGTATGATACGTATATATTCATTCATGGCGGGATCCCCGTTTATTATTACCCCTGAGGCAGAAAATAGGGTCATCCGATGATGAATTGAATTTTGCGGATTCGGATGGGACGAAAGGGAATTACATAAAATCTATAGAGGTAGTCTTGGATGAGACGGCATCCACTGGGTTGGATCTTGGGGTTTGTGTAGTCTCATGCCAAGACCCTCTGGCTGCTTCTTATCCCCGGGTCTTGAACCGTAGGTGGGGTTCTACAGCATCCTTCCTTCCCTTCCTTTTCTCTTCTCTCCGTAATTAGCAATTTCTGGGGTGTCGGACATGCATATACTGTAAAGGCGAGACTTCGTTTTTGTTTAAACCTCGCTAATATTGTCATCAAATAATCTCCGGGGCATAATTTGCGTACGCGATCGGGAAGAATTCGGTGAATAATTTATAAAATGTCGCGTTTAAAAAATAAAAAGAGAGACTCTGATGCAATTTGTGTTTTTTGTTATTTTTATCCCGGGCAGATCCGCTGAGCGCACGTGCATGAATGTCATCATACTCACCACCCCCCTACCCCCCCCTCTCCCAGGTGGCTCCTATCTGATCCGGGGCCAAGATCAATGACAAAGGCTACCAAATTTACTTAATATTTCATAGAAATGATTAAGTAACGATATGCACAATACACTGTTGTCTTGTACTTTCCCCATGGCCCGCAATCGTTCAGGCGCCTCACAACTACATAGCCTGAATTCCCCTTACCTCCCCCCGCGCCACTTATCTATTCCATTTCGTTCCTAGATCGCCTGCTTCCCTACCTCTGCCCTTTTCTCGGCGACGTCCGGGTGCTGATATCAGTTTCTTGGCCTGCTGGAGGAAGCGGGAAAAAGCAGGGATATCATATCATAGTCTTGACCTGGGATGTCGATCGGATTGTATAAAGGCAATTGTGTGAAAAGTGTTCGTTACCCTCAACATTTTCTTGTCACGGCATCGGAGGGAGAAGGTAACAGTCAAGATGAACATGTGATAATAAATGAATTTTCGCGAGTCATTTAATTAAGACTTATAATGAGCTATAGAAAATTTTCATTTTGCGCAGGTGCTACCTCATAGGGTCGCTAATCGACTTGTCGCAGTAATGTTACATGCTCACTTTATTGTGCTGTGGAATCGAAGGTGTTACACTCCTAATATGAATATTGTTGCTACTTGGTAACTCAATAACCTGACGTCGTGCCCGAGTGGTTAAGGGGAGTGATTAGAATACGGCTCTAGCCATAAATATCACTTGCGGTCTCCGCGCGCAAGTTCGAGTCTTGTCGACGTCGACATCTCTTTTGTAATTTTTTTATTTTTTCCCTCCGCTATGAACGCAACCAACAAAATTCAGCTCGTGTGGAAAGCAAATATAAAAAGCAAATATCCTAAATCAGATATTTCTCACCGAAAAGAGTAACTTTGCTTTCAGTAGAATCTCGAGCTTTGAGTATATAAATCGGGAACTTGCTTTGGCCAAGCAAAAATGCAATGCATTGTAATGCCCATAGAATTATGGCATGAAGCAAGTAATAAAAAGATAGATTTCAGAAGTTCCGGTACTTAAAACGTACGAAAATGATTTTCAACATAAGAAACAAATTTTCCTACCAATAAAAAATCAGTTTATTCAATTCGCGACACATTTATCCCCTTGTGCCGGAGGGGTTGGGGAGGGGGAGAGCTAACCTGGAAATACCATCCGTAAGGCAGGTCCTATAAGCGGCTTCTTTTAAACTAAACACTGGGAAAATTGATGGAATCATGTTGCATTCACAGGAAATAAATTGTTGTCGTTTCAAACTGATACTAAAAAAATAAATAAAATAAATAAATAAATAAATAAATAAAAAAATAAAATTTTTTTTCATTGGAGTGTATCTCAGTCCAACGTTTGTTGGATACAGGTGCATAGTATGCACCTCAGACACTCCACTACTGCCTTATGTAAGAGGTGCAGTCGCCGTTAGCTGAAGCAACTTATCCCGTGGGGGCGCCTGTAGTGAGAAGCGCAGGAAATCTTGGGATTCATTGCAGGCTACTTAGCTGTCTGAATGGATTCCGTTTTACCCCAGGTAGATAGCTGTTAGTCTAACCAAGAATCTTCCATATGCATCATGGGCCCCCTCAAACTACTCATGGACTAACACAGTTTTGCAAGCGCCTAGATTTCTATGGACAATGTTATCATAAATCCAGCTAATGTTAGGATCCGGTATTATTTCTAAGTTGGGACGTAGGTTCTTTGACACGTAATAATTAACAATTTTTATTTTATTTTAACCTCGTCAGACAAACCTTGATTAATTGAGGAAGTTCTTACATTTAGAAGTTTATATCATGTAGATTGTTCCTTGCATAATATTTCTATACCTGATTTCATTTCAAGAAAATGAGTTAATAGTGGATATCTATCAAAAGTGAGGTATAGTAAAATTAGTCAAGTCTCAAAGACACATGATAAGGTACATTACAGTACCTCCTCTTTTTCAAGTATAAAGTACCGTAGCTTGCTAGCAAGGAAATCTTTACACAAACCGTTCTAAGGACTCAAGACTTACCCGTGTTATTCTATCGAGAATGTAGGACAAACACGACATCCCGTTCTTTGCAGGGAATCTTTATTCTAAAACTAAAGAACGCTTATCTACTCCGCTCAGGTACGAGAACAGCTCTGCTCCTGTTGTTCTATGTATCTAGTTATGCAAAAATTAACTTCGTGTCCTAGAGAAGATTCAGCACAATAGTTTAAAGCAAAACCCTATAATATGCCGTCCAATTATGTTTCTGCTAGTCTGAGAGATAAGCGCGAATCACGTCACCGGTACGCTGCGCTGAGGGAGTACAGTTGCATCAAAACCCTCACTCACCTGGTCTAATAGACGAACACTGGCTTGGCGCTGAAACCGGCGAGAAACCTTACTGTATTCGAACGAGAACAGTGGTATCGAAGGAGGTTTTTTCCTAGGTGGCTTGGGTTACAAGAATAGTTTTGTTCCACATTCTATACTATGTTGAATGCTCAGTACTCCGTCAGTGGCATCCGCAAGAGTGGGAGAGGAACCGTGGAGCACCTATCTGGCGGCCTGAATACCGTAGAAGGGACTCACCAGTGTAGGGACTGAGAGTTTCTGTGGTGCAGAAGCGCAATGAGGCCATGGAATTGTGCTTGGATGTAAAGATGTCCAATGAATAGAATTTAACGTTTCCCTTGAGTGTGGCAACCACTCGCCGATGTTGCTCTCGCGCCGATCTTCAGCTAATGAGGAGGAATGATCCTGAGTTAGAATATCGTTGAAGTAGCATTTCGGGGCGAGCTACACAATTTATGGAAAGCTAATTGAGTAACAAGCCCACCAGCACCTCAGGCAGTGTTTTGCAAGGGTATCATAACAATATTGTCCAGTGTATCCTGTCTCTTCGCAGTTGTACAAGACAACAATACAATATAGCCTAATTGCATCAGATTTCATTCCCGAATTGTTTTTTTTTTTTTTTTTTTTTTAAATATCATTGATCGCATGCCGCCCTATGGGCTATGGCGATTCAAGGTAAATAAGAAATAAACAAAAGACAAATAAAACAAAGTAGGTGCCCACGATCCCCGCTGATGAGGTGGGTGGAGACAGAGGAGGGTGTCATGTCATGTGTTGCCCATGTCTATCTCTGTGTTACAGGCCAAAGAAAAGAGGAAAAACAGGGATAAGTCCGTCTATTCTGTCCTCCTTCTGTCCCATTCGTACTCGCACGACTTGAGCCATTTTCCTCCCAGTCTCACCCTGCTCGGTGTAGGTTCGGTTCGCTCTTCCAAGTATACCACTACCGAACTGGTGAGCTTCCCCTCCTCGACGAGAGTCTCCTTTTTTTTCAGCAATCGGATCCCAATGATCTGTCCCAAGCCTTTGTTGACTGTTTCCAACCATTTGCGCACATTCCCCAAGTTCTTTCTCATGGCTATGCCATGTACCACGATTTCATTCCCGAATGAAGCAGCCAACTGAAGTACAAGACTCACGTCATGCGTAACAGCTGCTACTTCTCATGTATCTCGTCCTAGCCTCAACGGTCAAATTTGTGCTAGGAACCGGAGTTACTGGTTAGCGATCGTTCGTATCCTCCCTATACTGTGAAAAGTGCGGTGATAACGGAGATATCACTCATCCTTTTTGCCCTGCCATGGCGAACAGCTGCAAGCGGGGTTACGTGATATTAAAAAAAAAAAAAAAAGGCATCCTTTTTGCGCGGGACTGCATATATCTGTGTAAGTCGATGATGCTGCACAATATTCCTTATGGAGTATATCTGGAGCGGATTCGGCGAGAAAAATAAGAAAACCTCACGGCTGATAGACAAAGTCAATTATTAGCCATAAACTCGTTGTGCTCGTGAACATTGACTTTGCAATTAGCTGCTTCGCTGATGTTTTATTTATTTATTTACTTATTTTTAATATATCACGTAACCCTACTTACCGCTATTTCGCTATGGTAGGCCGCTAATGGTTGTTTAGATCATGCTTTTGTTAAGCTCTCTCGTAGAAGAGTCGGGCAAGGTAGAGCCTGCATCGATGTTTTCCTCTCATGTTTCTGTAATTATATTTGTCCTGTTGCTGAAATGGGAATGACTATGTCAAATAGACAAAGCTCTTGCTGCTGAAAAACCTATACAAGAGAACCTGTAAGATCAGATCAGTTCTGACCCAACAAGCTTAACCACTATCAGATAGTATGCAGATGCATAGAGATAGTTGCGGAGATCCTGGCGGTATTGTGTTACTTATAAGGATATAATTGATAGGCTTAATCTTATGGGTAATATATGACCTGTGTATTCTATAGATTGTAAATTGTGAAAGCCTCAGAAAGCCTCAGATCAAGATGTGTAACTTTTCTAAATATGTTCCTGCTGCTTATCAAGTCTTTTTATACGTCAGAATTTGGTGCTGTTTAGTTGTATTTTGACATGGTTCTGTAGTCTTCCGGCTAAACAAACACTGCACTGAAAGGATTCAGGATCGTCAGTGACATGAGTGGGTCAGCACCCCAGAGCGTCATAAGACCAAAAGAGGTGGATACATCAATTGTTGCTCTAAATCTAGTGATGCTGTTTTATGATAGGCCCGTTCCAGTAGCAGATACACGCGGTCATGCAGAGTGCCGTGGAGAGAACTTGTAACTCTAATTTTATAAGTAGGAGTTTGTCATACCACACCGTATAAGAGAAGAAATTTTCTCTCCGCATACCTCAAAACATGCTATACATGTTCCTTCTCGCTGTGGTAGTGAGGCCAGCATGAAGAGGATGCTCTTTATACCGAAGAACCTTGTGCGGCGGAGTTGTTGGCGACAATTGGTGTCATTGATCACTGGTACCGATGTTATCCGGCGCTTTTGCGCCACTGGCGTTGTAGAGGGGTTGAGCAACTTGAGATCTCGAGCCCGTTGGCACGGAGGCAAAACAATGCTCGCAGAGTATGGAGAGCGTAACGAAATGGAGAATCGTCGTACGGCATAGACCTCAATCGGCAAAAGGTTCTCGGTCAGTTCTACAAACCTATTTCTAGTAATGTTAGGCCTCGTAATGTCTGCGGAAGCATTGTGTCCAGAAAGTGTATATATATAAACACCCTCTCCCCAGACCAAGGGAAGGTTCTCTCCAGGGTACTTGGACGTGGCCCACTCTCTTGTGTCGAAGAGCCTCTCACAAGTTTTGGACCGCGGTCAGTATCCTTTTCAACGGACAGCCCTCGCCATGACTTCCAGAGAATCTGGAATGACAGATGATGTGAGTAAACCATAGATATTGTGGCTGATAAGTGCTAACAAGGTGTAGGGGTTCGCCCTTGAAGAGGAGCTGAACCGGCTCCTACTGAGAGAGGCGGAGAGGAGTGGTCAGGGGTGGCGCGAGGGGATCCAGATGGAGGTTCTAGGGGAGAGAACCTTCACCTCCGCCACGGCAGGCGGACTGGAACGGGCCCCTCAACAGGCCATGCGGAGTGAGGAATCGCGCCCAGTTCCCACTCCAAGAGCGGCGGCGCATCCCCGGCGTCACGCTCACCGACCCACTCCACCGCTTGGAGGCCGCGGGTATGGTCCTGGTACTCCTACCTGGGCTTCAGGGGCCTCTGGGAGTATTTTCTCGCTTCCGGAAGGCCACCCTCCAATCGCACGGCCCCAGCGCGTCCACACCCGGGCCCAAACCTCCAACGCCGTCGTGAGATCCCGGTCGGCATCACCAATAGCCTCGCCAATTCGGCAGCCCCCTCAACCAGCATCCGCGCCCTTGCCTACATTGAGACGGGAAGCAAGTTTCTCCTTGTTCCCGTCTCCACCAAGCCCAAGGGATGCGGAGTTAGCCCGGGAGGTGTTCCGGCTGAACTTCGAGGCGGTCCACGGCAGCGCAGAAGCGCAAGGCCAATATCGGGCCCCGTTTCCGGCCTTGACAGCGGCCGAACAGCCATCTGCAGGGCCAGCACTCCAGCTGGGACTGGACAGCGGTCGCAGAGACCGTGGATGCCTGGCGCCGCTCGCCGATTGGTGGAGAGGCTTGAGGCGGTGAGAAGGACTGGGAGGGAGATTGGTGTTGGGCGTGTTTCTTTTTTCGTTTTTCTTTCAGTGCTTCTTGATTTCCTTTCTCATGGTCCCGCTATCAACAGAGTTGGGGCAAGTTGGGATACCTGGATTTGCGTGGAAACACTATGTAGTATTTAGCAAGTGTTAAATCAGCCTGAACGGCAGGCTGAACACTATGGGAAGCTTGTATATATAGAGAGAAGTGTTCAGCTTCAGATGCCTTCAAGGCTTGCTCTACTTCGTGCAACTGCATAATTATGATTGGAAAACATGGTCACTTGACCCCAAGATTTTATGGCCGTCCGTCCTACGGTTCGAGGCTGTCGTGGTAAGATTGTGTACCAGTTATGCAGGCCTGGCTGTAGAGTTTGGCGAACTTCCATAGTAGTCAATAGTAAGGACTGGAAAAAGGCGGCAGGTTAGACTTAGCTTCATGGTTAGACTGCTGTTCTTTATGAGCTTCATGGGCACCTAACAGCCCTGGTCTGCTGGGACGTCGATGCCTCCGGGTTCCGAGGGGCTGTGAAGCACACCGCCGAGCATCGAGCTGGGGCAAGGCTGATTCGTCAGGGCTGCTGAGAAGCACATCATGGGAGGGGCGGGAGAGACGGTTTGCAGGCCTTGGTCTTGCTCGTGAAGGGTGCATCGTGGCCAGAGACGCCAAGACAGCTGCCGAAGTGAGCCTGGTTGCCCGCGGAGGCGCCCGTCTGGGGGATGCTCGTCTCGTCACGGGCGCGGGGGACGCGCCTTCCTAGGCTGGTAGCGCCAGACTGCGCCTGCACCGTCCCTCCACGTAGACGCACAGGCGCTGCAGCATAGATCCACTCGCGAGGCTGGCCGCCGCAAGCATCCTTGGGAGATACGCATGGCGCGTATGGAGCTATGGAATGTGGAGGGCGGCCGCATGGAGAATCTTCAGCAACCAAGCAAGAAAAGCAGGAAAAGTAAAAGTGAGATCTTGAACACGGAAGGACAAAAAATCCGGGTCTTTAACGTCGCAGAAGAAATACTGCATTTATCTTCCGCTAGCAGGAAGCGCGCATTGAGTGCTACGGACCTTTTCTTTTTTTTCTCCATTGCGCAGTTGTGGATGCGCGATCAGCGTGCGCGGCGAGCGCCCAGCGATCGTTGTCTCAGACACCGAAAATTCGGATGCTCCCCCCACCCTGCATTAGGGTTGGACGCGAACCCCGGCCGGAACGTCGCCGTGCTGCGCTGCGCCCGGCCATTTCGTCGCCGTCAGGGGTGCATCCCACGAGTACATATTGCAGGAAAACGTGACCAGCGCGACCTTGCTAGCCGCAGCCTGGCAACCCGCTATAAAGCCCTCACCCCCCTCTTGCAAACTAGAGTAAAGGTATTCGGACTCCTAGCTGCGCACATTCCGACATGCAACGTCATCCCCATCAAATAACGCGTTAACACAATCCTGCGCGTTATCCGCCCCACCCCGCAAGCACTGTACCTTAATTATACTACCGGAACTGTTGAAACAGCCCGTAACATAAAGGGTCGCCTCATCCATAAGGCCGCTCTAACCGTCTTGAGGCGCTGATAAGCTGATACGTATGCCTGCACAAAGGTCCTCCAGCAATTCGAAAAGTAAGGAAGCAAGGAGGTCATATTCACCGTTTCGCGAGTATGAATATTAACATATCCCAGGCTTGAAAAATTCTGAAGACGTTCCTGAGCTTCTGCACTCTTTTCGCGGTGAGTCGCCTGATAGAACAGGCGCTCGCGGCAGAAGCCTTTTAAAAGGGGATACAGGCGAACATCCTCACAGGAAAGTCCGTCAGGAACCACAAGGCGCAGCCTTGACTAGGGATACTCCAGCGCGTACCGAGGAGCTGAATGGGTCTAGAAAGCGCCAAAGGATAGGGGCTATTGACAAGCGACAACAAGAGGACAGACGCCAGCACGGGTTGGCAAAGCTCTCTACGGCAACCGAACCAATTACAACTGCGAAACAGGAGCAGCGCTCCCATAACCCCAACGCTACGAGGCTACCTGTAGAATCGCCTTACTCGAAAGGACACGAGGAGCAGTCCCAGAGGGAGTCTCAGAGGGCAATGCCAGAGTCAACAAAAAGGGCGCCATCGGCGTCTGAAAGAGTCCATAACATGCCTAGTAGGTCAACTGAGACACCTCCCAAAACACCCGCCCGAGATCCTGCGAACGACCTCGGCTCATGGCTACGCACTATTGAGAGCAAGCGCCGCGCTATCGCGGCAATGCGCTCCCGATCGAACAACACAGTGACACCGACAGAGTCCCCCACTGTTGATGCAAAGGTGCTATTTGGAGCAGCGCAATGCGAACCTGAGACCCGGCCGCAGGTTAAAGCACCTGCAGTAATAGACTTGACGGAAGATGATTCAAAAAAAAGCACGATTGTTTTGAAAAAAGAGGGATCGGATACCTCAGCTCAGAAGACCCTGGATACGCTATTTCAAGGGAGAAATGACAGTTCAGAGCCTTCAACGCCTAGCACATCACCCGAATTACCAGATCTTCCTAGTCCAGCGAAAAGGAAGTCCCGACTGAGTGTGTCCGACCTTCTTGTGGCACCTGTAAAAAATTCCGCATCGCCACCCACGCCGGCGGCCCCCGCGTCTAGTCACTCCATTCCAGGGCGCGAGACTGCTACTCCAGCTCCGCCTGACGTGGTCGTCACCGATAGTACCAGGATTAACGGTGGGCGCGAATACTGGGCGGACGGAACGCCACGCTTTCACGAAGGGCCAACGCGCAAGAATCCAGTGGTGACTAACTCCCAGGCTAGACATATATGGCGGCCACCGTGGGGTCCTCGGCCGGAACTGGAGTGGAGAAAATCTGTCAATTGGGTCATGAAGGACGGTCCTCAAGAGGCTCAGGAAGTGTAGAAGACCGTAGGATGTCGCAGCTAAAATCCGTGGGAGCTAGCGGGCGACCTGAATGTAAATCTTTGCCAGGACTTGGGCTGGTATCAATGTTTCTCTGGTTGCGCTCTTGGATAGATAATGCATGTGGGATACATCTACGTATTTTTGGCGTTTACATTAATCTTGGGGACTTTTTTTCTTTCATGATATACTAATAATACAGTAGATAACTTTTTTACCATATGTTTCCTCCGGACAGTTTATGGACGTGAGTGTACCTACAAGCTAAATCTGATCATGAGCTCTGTTATGAGGTGAGTTGGTTCGAACCAAGATTCGGGAGATAGCAAAACAACAACCTTCACCGTACGGGACAAGTCATACTCATCCTTTGGCTGCAACATGATACCGTATTTCCTTCTAAGCACGGCTCATGATTACAAACGGTAAGTACTGCGAAAACAGATGGGGGGTGTTGCATCTTGGTAGGTACAACCTATAACCTCGTTCGCAGCTATAGGTACATCAGTAGGTACATAAACAGGTAGGTCCTCGTGTTTTGAAAGGTTGACAAGTAAATTTCAAGATTTTATTTAAGTACAATTTAAGGATGTACAGTAGGTGTTGTTTCTCACTATTCCTAACAATCCCCCCTCCTCCTCCGGGAGTGTTGCAAGAACCTCCGCTTGTTAAAAGTCGGAGATCGTATTTTTACTCGAAATATTCACAGACCTACTTGCTGCATCGGTCGATCCGCCATTTCCTTTGACCCAACCACCCGCCTCACAGAGACGCTTCAATGGTTTAATGACACCGAACAGACGTCGTGCCCGAGTGGTTAAGGGGAGTGACTAGAATATGGTACTAACCAGTAACATAGATTATCACTTACGGTCTCCGTGCGCAAGTTCGAGTCTTGTCGACGTCGGCATTTACTTTTTTGCTTTTCCTTCGCGAGATTGGGTGGGTTTAGCCTTTTTTTGACAGCAGGCTAGTGCTATGGTGTTGGTTTGGGCGTTTGCGGGGGCAGGAGAGGAAGGAGGTGGTTGGGGTTACAAAGACAGGTTTGTGGTGGAAGTCTGGTGGCGGAGGGATAGTAACTGGGGGATTTATATATCGCGGGAACGGAAATCGATATAGAGTGGAGAGGAGGGCGGGGGAAGTGTTGCGCGGAGGACATACATGAAAAGCATGGACTTGAGGGTAAGAAGGGGACAAGAACCAAAACCCAAGGATTGGGTTGTTGGACGGGAGAAGAGGGAAAGAAAATGAGAGGATGCCGTAGGATTGGAAAAGGGCTCAGACGCCTTTGATTTGTTTGTTTAATTCTTTTAAATACTCTTCTTACCGTGGGTTGCGCGGGGAGGAGAGGGAGAGGGAGAGAAAGTATAACAAAGCGATCACGGTAGTGTGGGGGGGAAGAGTGGGGTGGAAGTCTACGAGACATCGTTTTTCGATTTGCAATTTGCGGTCGCGATTCTTGTTTTCTGTTTTGTTTTCTTTGACAGTTTGTTGTTTAGTATTCATCTGAAGCCTATCGGGAAATGTTTAAGATATCTTTTATTTTCCTCGTACCCCCCCTTTTTTTAATTTCATTATTTCAAAGAGTGACATGAGAAGATATCCTTTAAAAATTTTATTTTTCTTTTTTCTTTCCAAGTCGCACTCCTAGAACATGGAATTTTACGGGTACTACATAATTTGAGTCAGCGAAATGTCCCTGCGCTGGAGCTGTGACGGTTAGTTAAGTATGTAGTAATATCGTGGATTTGCACCGTACCTTCCTTCGTATGCAGCCCAGCTGGAGAGATATCATGTGTATCGGCTGTAGGATTTCTTTCTTTGTTTTTTTCTTTTTTTTTGTTTTTGCTATTCTGTCTGGATGGCTTGGAGATAATAGGGGGAAGGGTGGTCAAAAAAAAATAAATAAAAATAAAAAAAAAAGCTCTTTCTGGTATTACACTCTGCAGGGCAGTGGAGTGGGGGAATGACAAATGTTCGACAAATTGTACTCTACAGAGAACTTTCCGCTGCTCTATGCATACTTGCGACTTTTTTCTTCACATTATGCGGTTGCCGACAATTCACCATGCGAGGTATAAATTTGCCGTTTGTAACCGGAGTTTAACCGGTATGAGGGTAACTCTGCGGAGGACAGACACCCATGCATCTTGCCTCACGCATCTCTTCACCAATTCTCAATACGAAAGGAAATAAAATCACAAGAGTCCACCGACCGCCTGTCCAGTAACAATGAGTGCAAAAGGCTTATCGGCGTCGACAAGACTCGAATTTGCGCATGGAGACCGTAAGGGATAATCTATGTTACGGGTTACTACCATATGCTAGTCACTCCCCCTAACCACTTAGGCACGACATCTGGTGGTAAGTTGAATTCTGTAAAATGCGCAAGTAGATTTAGTTGAGAAGCGATAGGGGACGGGTACTAGAACAGGTTGCAAAGAGAAAGGGGATTTAGGCTAAATGGGGCGACATGTGAGAGTATGATAGGAGGGCTAATAATTAGCGCAAGTGACTATTAAGCAGGGATAGGTCAAGGTAGGCATTGGCAGGAATACGGTGCAGGAATACGGTGCAGGAATACGGCATTTGCCAGTCAGCGATGATCTCTGGTAGCAACTCAATGACTTTTTGTTTTCATTATCTACTAGTAACATTATGTCAGTTATAAGAAAGGAGACATGAAACCGGATAACGATTTCACGTATTAAGCAACACACACAAAAAAAAAATCTCCGTAACAAAAGAAAAAAAAGAGAAATCTTCTACCAACGGAAACATCTTCCTGACTCTCATACATTTCATCGCATCCCGCTAATGCTCACGCCGAGATGATCATCACTTGATCGGCGTGCAGGATCTTTAATAACACAGGAATGACACGCAATTGCATATAAACGAAGGGTAATGACAGCGATATTCGGAATGCAGAGACGGCAAAAGTGGAAAAAAAAAGAACAGCCATTGGCCTTTCTTTGGCCTTCATTGGATATTAAAAGCCTAAAGCCTCCGATCAGGTGCTCTCGGTGGAAAAGATCTGAAGGTCGCAAGACGTTCATGCATGCATATGGATATGTAATATGTGATCAAAAGTATGCGCGCTAAAAGATGCGAAATTGACCATTAGTCCACTTATACACGGAATGGTAGATAGAGTATGTATTCACTTTTACCTTCATGCTATTCAATAATTCACACTTCCTTTCCTGCCAGCGCCTAGCATCTGCTTTCTACCTGGGCGGCCCATGGGCGGTCTTCTGACGCTGGGTACATCATAGGTGGCAGTTGCAGCCCATGAAACTGGTCGACTAGATGCAATTTTCCGTGCAGTGCTGTCCAAGTCTTCTGTTGCCGGAATATAAATTTGAGATTGCCCGACAAGCGAATCCCTTTTCACCTTTCTGGACAGCCTTTTTCCTACTCCACCAACCCACTTTCCAACATCACCAAGGGTATCCGTCAAGGTCTCAGAATAGGTCTGACTGTTGGTTCTATACGGCGGAAAGCTCACATATTCCTTTGCGAAAGGGCTCTCTCTCAGGTCAATGCTACGCGGTGTGCTAGGACGACTACTTTGGTTACTCCCAGTGCCCGAAAGGTAGCTGCTCAAGCTGCGAGTGGAGGCGGTAAGCAGCGACGAAGTGCTATCGGCTCTCTCCAGCAATTTGGGGCGGACAGGTGCCGAATATTCCGCAGTGAATGGAATCGCCTGCTTTGGTTCGGATCCAACAGAGCTCAGACTCGCCATCGGGTCACTTGTTCGTGGGGGCTGCATCGCAGGACAACCAGGGATTGCGAAGCTCTGTTTGATGCCAGATACCGTGATGTTGGAGACACTCTACAGCATATTAGAGTTGTTTTTCACAAGCACCTAGCAGCGAGAGTACGTACCTGAGTGGGCATAACAGCAGCCAATCTTGTCTTTATTCCTACCTGGGGGTTATAGAATCCTGGAATGGAATATCCGGTGGAATAGTGGTCACCCGTATCCAATGTTCGGCTGCTGACTCCTAGGGTTCCGATTTTCATCTCCGGGGCTACCGATATTTCAGTTGGTGCCGGATAGTCATCCGGCGACAGAGTAGTTTGATGATTGACCGATGGTTCAGTAAGTAGTGCTGGTGTCTCCAAGACAATATTATGACAGTCGCCTAGAGCGCCACAATCCTTTGTTGGTTCGAGAGCAACACAAACACAAGGTGCGCTGCACCCACACAACCTTGCGGAAGGCGGTGTACCTACTGCATGTACACCTGAGTGGCATGATCTCGGTGATGATGTTGGCAAGGGTCGGAAAAACAAATTTGCTGCACTGAGCTTGTGCCTTAGGGTCTGGATGCTGGAAGTCTGCTTTATCGTTCTATGAAGTGACTCCGCCATTGCCCCAGACTCGGTGGTAGTAGGGGTGACAAACAAATTCCCATCCATGTCGCACCGTAAGCTTGCGTCCATTTAATGTTGATTCAACTTCATGTGTCAAGGAATGGGGTGGGTAGAGAATGGTTAGCGACTTTTAGCCACAGATTTGTATTGTTCGAAGAATGTCCTGTAGATGGGAAATGCATGTATGTGGGCTGTGTTTGAGAAAGGTAAACACACGACTAACCGGTTTCGGCAGTGCAACATTCCGCAATATGCCTTAAGCCATCTCTGAGCCTAAGCTTTCAACCACTCCATTGATAAATGACTACACACTATCTGCGTCCGGAGAAAGCCTGGTACAGAAATTCAGTTATTTCCGAAAGCATCAGCTTGAATCGGAGCCTCTATCGTATGACAATTATTTGAGCGTGAGTTTCACTGGGGAAAGTGATGATGGGAGAGGCTCAGCTAAAGACTCCTTATTCTTCCGAGCTTCCTTCGTCACTCATTCATACTCTCAATTATATCTAACGGTTGTCAAAGTGTCCCCTTTGTGGTTTAGGCAGTTTCACAAGCTTTAATCCCATAGGCTGGCGAAGATTTCCAAGCAACATAACCATGAGCCACATTATGACGATGTAGAAATAATCGCGCTATTCCATTCAAGAATCACTTATGCACACCGCCTCTCTTTTGAAGCATGAAGCTATTCGGTGTTCAGTCAACCAAGGATGTTATTGGGATCAACGCTTATGGTAGGTATCCCAACATTCTAAAAAGGGGATAAAAACTAAATGATTCAACAATGATAACATCACTATACAGGTCGGAGATATGTAATGTGAAATGAGATAAAGAAAACACCGAGGGAAGATGCATCGGGAGAAATTCGTAAATCGTTATCAAATGTCATAAAGTCGTGGAGAACTAGTATCTTTGACTGCTTCCAAGGTTCCCCAAGTGAGGTCATGACACTCTTGATTCAGCCGGTAGGTCAGCGGAAGGCTATGGTTTCTTCTCCTTGTTCATCTTGTTCAATGTATAATCTCTTGTGTATTGCTGGCCTCGATACTGACTCAGGAATGCGTGAAAAGGTACGACTACACGTTCCTGTCAGATTTTTTTTTTTTTTTTTGCTACAACGAAAATATTTGACTTACATCCACGTAGCTTTAAATGAGGCAAGCTTGTCAAGCGCCCATTTGTAGGGCTGAAACCGCTGCCCGAAAATGCTCGAGGAGCACTCAAACTGTGCTACCATTTGGCTATATCTTATATCCTGCTCAAGGTCACTGGCCCATACCCAGTCATCGTGATTTCTGCCTTTGACATGAATTCGGTAAGCTCGTCGTAATCTTGAAGATTGTGGATCCGTTATGTATGCCTTCCCAAGAAGTTCATGGATGCCAGAAATGCATCTTGGACCAGGATAAATATCCTCAGGGCTTGAACAAATCCTGGGTGAGACGAGGGCCTGGGCAGAATTGAATCTCTGGTCAGAGCCGTGAATTGGACTTAACCTATTATGAAAGGTGTCGTAGACAT